GTAGCCGCGATCTCCAAGCTCGTGTTTCTCCTCGGTGTCTCTGCGACGGCCGTTGTCGGCGACTGCGGCACGGCGCGCCCACCCACGGCCCATTTTCAAGTGCTCTCGTACAACGACGTGTACGAGATGAAGGCCGAGAACGACACGGCACAGTATGGCGTCCTCGTCGGCGGTCCCTCGCGCGTCATCCCCATCGCGCAGAAGCTCCGCAAGAGCTTTGAAAACAGTTTGGTCATCTTTGCGGGCGACACCATGTCGCCGTCGCTCTGGTCCGGCCAGTTCAAGGGTCTCCAGATGATCGAGGCTCACAACGCACTCGGTGTTGACTTTGCGTGTCTCGGCAACCACGAGTTTGACTTTGGCATCGACGCGTTCCTCAACGTCTCGGCCGCCTCCAAGTTTCATTGGCTCAACGTCAACGCGTACGAGGCCTCGACCAAGAAGCTCCTCCGCGGCACCCAACCGTATGCGATCAAGAAGTTCAACTCGACGACGATGGGCACCATGAAGGTGGGCGCTTTTGGCGTCATGTACGACATGCAGGATACGTCCAAGGGCTTGTACTGGACGGACCCGATCGAGGCGGCCAAAGCGCTGGTCAAGTACCTTCGCGAGGTCGAGAAGGTCGACATGGTGATTGCGCTTACGCACCAGTTCTTGGACGACGACAACCGCTTCTCGCAGCAGGTCAAGGGCGTCGACATCATTTACGGCGGCCACGACCACTCGGCGATGCTCCAGACCAACTTTGGCACGCCGTACCTCAAGTCGGACCTCAACTTCCGCAGCGTGTGGATCTCGGACATCAAGTACTATGCCCGGTCAACCGATGCAGCCAACAAGGCGACGACGGCGTTCACCAAGATGAGCCACAAGAACCTCGTGATCACGAACGAGATGCCGTCGGACCCGGCGTTTGACGAGATCATCAAGTCGTATGACGCCCAGATCAACGTGCTCTTTACGCGCACTGTCGGCGCGCTTTGCGCATCGACGGACTTGACGACCAAGCTCCTGCGATTCGGTGAGGCGCCGATCGGCAACTTTTTTGCGGATGCGTTCAAGGCCTTCCACAAGAAGGTGGCCGTTGATGTCGGCTACATGAACGCCGGCGGCATTCGCACGGAGAAGGTTTGGCCGGCTGGTCCGTTCTCGCTCGGGGACCTCATCTCGTGGTCGCCGTTTGGCAACATGATTGCGGTCATCTCGACGGACGGCGCTAGCTTCAAGAAGTTTTTGGGCACCCAGTTCAGCCAATCGTGCGCGAACCAAAGCCGAAGCTTCGAAAGCAACGGATTCTACCCGCAACTCTCGGGCGTCAAGGCCGCTTTTGTGTGCAACGGCGTTGTCAAGGGCCAGGGCGCGCTCACGAGCCTCCAGTGGGACGGCGAAGTCAACGGCAAGTCGGGTGATGTCAAGGACGGTGACAAGATCAACCTGTCCTTCTCGACGTACATGAAGGACCTCTTTGACCAGTTTGTCGGCGGGTCGGCCAAGTACCTCGTCGATGCCGCCGAAGCGACGCGCATCGACCTCGTCCTCGAGACGTACACGCAGTTCCAGGCGGGCGAGGTGTGTCCGACAGCCGCGAACCGCACGACCATTTCCTACCAAGCCTCGACGGTCCCCAAGTGAGCCGAAGACCCGAACCCCTTAATGTAACTTACATGAGAATATTGTATTTCCAAGAAGTTGCACTTTCCACTCGAAGCTGGGAGAATTCCCTTCTGTAGGACGAAATGCACCCTCTCCAAGATCCCAAACTGCGATGATGGAGGAGGGATGATAGCACGCACCGACGCGCCAAAGCTTTCACTGGCGACAGAACATGAATGTGCAGCTCGTAGTTGACGCTGCTACAATGGCCTCATGCTGACTGGATCATCGGGGGAGAATGTGCTCTGCTTGCTGTTGACGCTGTCTTTGCCGTCGCACCATTATCTTGGCAAAGCCGATCACTATATATTTCAGGCGTGATCTATTACTAAACGCATGTGGACGATTGATTGCACGAACACAGAAATATACTCAGGTGAGGATCAACACCAAGCCGTGTCCTTTTCTATAGAAAGGACAAAGGAATCTTGCACGGTGTGTTTGGGTGCAGGGCATCTGCAACAATCTCAAGAAATGACCTTCACTGTTTCAACAATCTCAAAACTCGCGGTTTGAGATTTTGAGAAAGAATATGTACAACACCGCACACTCTCCCGTCCATCGCGTTCACGTAGAAGGCCTATGTGTCTCTTCCTTAATTGTTCGAAGGGGCTTGCTTGCTATCGAGCGGCCACAAGCCGCTTTGCCTCATCGCTGTGTTGCCGGTATCTTTTTCTCAGACCCGTCGTCTTCTGGTTCCTTGGAGTCCATAAATGAGACGTTTCTGAAATATGTTGATCACAAGAGACACAATTGGTAATATGTCAATATGCTGGTCACGCCAAGCTCCAGCTGACAACCCAGATGCCACGTCAGATGCCTCTGCAAGGTCGATTGTGCCGGCTGCATTCCCACTTTTGGCGCACAGGACGACCATGTTGATGCGCGCTCTCCTCTCGACGCTGCTCCTCGTGGCAGTGGCTACCAGCCTACCGACACCGACGTACCCACGCTCCCTCGACGTCACGCTCAATACGATCCTCAACAAGGTGGTGGCCACGGCCGGCGGTCGCGTCGTGGCCGCGGATCATAGCAGCACTGTGTGGCGCTACGACACGTGGACGCACGAGCTTCGCACCGAGGACGCGTGCTTGGGTCTCAGTAGCGAGGATGTTCTTGCGCTCGCGCCCTGCACGGGCCACCGCCGCCAGACGTGGACGATCGACGGCGCCGATAGCCGCATCTCGCACCGAGCCGAGCCGTCGCTCTGCCTCCAAGTCGATTTGGACAACTCTGTGCGCGCAGCGCCCTGCACGTCGCACGTCGAGAGTCCGTACCAATATGTCTTTTTGAGCTCGGAAACTGTCGTCTTGACGACCGACACCACGCATGTGCTCAGCACGCGCGACGCGAGCGTCGTTGTCGAGGTCCGGACGCAGCAGGACCCGCGCCTCGTCCCATCCTGGCGCTTTGACAAGGTCAACGGCACGCTTCAATCGAACGAGAACGGGCTTTGCTTGCACGTGACGCCGTCCTACGCGGTCGTCGCGCACGACTGCGACCACTCGTCCATGCAGCAGTGGTGGTACGAAGCCACGCAGCTGACCAACGCGGCCACGCCCGGCTACTGCCTCACGCTGGACGGCACGCCACGCATCGCTCGTTGCCAGCACATTCCGTCGCAGCGTGTGCACTACGAGATGGTCGACACGTTCACGACCTAGTCCGCGACCTACTCTATTTAACAACGTTTTGATATCCTTGCGGTGGCTATCGTGGACTACGAATAGTCAACCTCGACCAGGGGCAGCATCTTGCTGCTGCTGTCAGGTGCAAGGGTATATGCGACCGGGCTCATCTGGCCCAGCGCGACTCGATGCTGTGGAGCGTCGTGCCTTGTCCTATGCCAGCGCAGGGTACGATGAATCGCCAGACAGGATAAGTGAGCCATAAGACAGAATAAGATGGAGCATACGACAGGATAGGATGACAGGATAGGATCGAGCATAAGACAGGATAAGATAAACCATAAGACAGGATACGATGAGCCATAAGACAGGATGTGATTATACAAAGGAGTGTAGTCATGCGTCGTAAGAAGAGGGTTGTTTAGAACGACGCGTTCGAGGGCCAGCGCGGGAACGGGATGACGTCGCGGATGTTCTCAATGCCCGTGACGAAGCGCACGAGGCGCTCAAAGCCGCAGCCAAAGCCGGCGTGCGGCACCGTGCCGTAGCGGCGGAGGTCGCAGTACCAGCCGTACTCGGCGGGATCGTGGCCCGTGGCTTCCTTGATGCGCGCTTCGAGGACGTCGAGGCGCTCTTCGCGCTGCGAGCCGCCAATGATCTCGCCAATCTTGGGCACAAGGACGTCGGCGGCCGCGACCGTCTTGCCGTCGTCGTTCAAGCGCATGTAGAACGCCTTGATCTCCTTCGGGTAGTCGTACAAGACGACCGGCTTCTTGTAGATCTGCTCCGTGATAAAACGCTCGTGCTCCGAGCCGAGGTCGTCGCCCCACTTGGGCTTCTTCTCAAACTTGCCCTTCTTGAGGTTCTCGGGCTTGTTGATGAGCTCGATCGCGTCCGTGTACGAGAGACGCACAAAGGGCGACGCGATCGTCGACTGGAGGCGCTCGAGGAGGCCCTTCTCGACGTTCTTGTCGAAGAACGCAAGGTCCTCGGCGCAGTTGTCGAGCGCGTACTGCGCGCAGTACTTGAGGTAGTCTTCCGCGAGGTCAATGTCGTCGCTGAGGTCGGCGAACGCGATTTCCGGCTCGATCATCCAAAACTCGGCGAGGTGGCGCGCCGTGTTGGAGTTCTCGGCGCGGAACGTCGGGCCAAACGTGTAGCAGTCCGAGAGCGCGCAGCAGTGCGTCTCGACGTTCAGCTGACCGGACACCGTGAGGTACGACGGCTTGCCAAAGAAGTCCTTGGAGAAGTCGATCGCCTTGTTGTCGGCCGTCTTGGGCACGTTGCCGTCCTTGACGTGGTTGAAGAGCGTCGTGACGGCAAACATCTCGCCAGCGCCTTCGCAGTCGGACGCCGTGATGAGCGGCGTGTGGATGTAGAGGAAGCCGCGCTCGTTGAAGAACGAGTGCGTCGCCTGGGCCATCGCGTTACGCACGCGCATCGCCGCCGAGTGGATGTTGGAGCGCGGGCGCAGATGCGCGTGCTCGCGCAGATGCTCGAGCGTGTGGCGCTTCTTCGAGAGCGCGTACGTCGAGGGGTCCGCGACGTCGCCGTAGAGCGTCACCTCGGTGGCCTTGACCTCGATGAGCTGGCCCTTGGCCGGGCTCTCGACCACAGTGCCAACAACGCAAAAGCTCGCGCCAGTGCCGCCCGAGTTGATGAGCGCCTCAAAGCCCGGCACGTCCTTGGCGACCACGATCTGGAGGCCCGTAAAGCACGAGCCATCGTTGAGCTCGAGGAAGGCGAAGGCGCCGGCGCCAGCTTCGCGCAGCGTCTTGGCCCAGCCCTTGACCGTCACCGTGTGGCCGACGGTCGAGAGGCCTGCGGCGAGGAGCTCCTTGACGCGGACGCGGCGGCGCTTGAAGAGGCCCTGGATGGCGGTCTTGTGCTGGGCGAGGCCCGGGGCCGTCGCGTCGTCGATCGCCACAGGCGTGACGTCGTTGATGGAGAGCGCTTCCATGGGTCGTATCTGGCGAATGCGAAAATGGAAGGCAAGCAATGACGTTTGAAGTTGGTCGCCATTTTGACCAATCACAAAATTGGGGCCGGAAATCACTTGTGGCCCGCAGTGTCGATTCCTTTTTGACCAATGAAATGGCATAACACACAATCAATTGCGCTGGATTTTGGCCAATGAGGTGCGACAAAACAACGCGAAGATCGCGATGGTCACTGCAGAATGTTCCTCTTGGTCCACAAGAAGTTGTCGCCGGCAACGACAGAGCGACAGGGCTCACCACCCGAAACTCTCCAGCAGAAAGGACATGGCTACGCCGTGAAGCTCGCTGCAAGATTTGCAGCGATGCGCCACGCCTGGCCATACTAGTACTAGTCGAGAGCAGCGACGACAGCACTTCCCAGCACCATAAACATGTTGCAGCACGTAGTGTGAGATGCACCCTGGAGTGCTCGTGGTATTGCATTGGTCTGCGGTGAGAGCGAAGAACACTCCTCTTGTCCTTTCGTGGCTATGCGCTTGCGATTCGCAGGAGGACGGATGATCCCCGTGATCCGATGCACGTCTTGTGGATAGACGTATAAGTACAACATGACAAGACGGCGCTGCTCTAAGGAATCTCGTACAGTTGCAGCGTTACCGTATCGCGCTCGTCGTAAGACTTGAAACAGAGACGAGGCGGTCAAGCTGTCGCGTTGACATCGCCTCGATCTCCCAGAGTTGTCTTGACCACGAGCATCACTCGAGTCCGGAGACCTTGCGCCCTTGTCAAGAGGAGTCGACTTTGCTATGCTAGGCTATTGTACAGAACTGTCATCTTGTCTGTGGTCCCACATCTCGCGACGGTATCATATTACAGAGGTTTCCTTTTGGCGCGCAAATGGCGGCCTCGTCCTCGACGAATTAAATAAACCCGGAAGCATACATTGGCCAAGCTCTTTTTTTCAAACGCGGTCTCTCCCGGGCTTTTGCGGTGTCCGGTTGAAGTATTCAATGTCAGAGGTTTCCAGCGGTCTCGCATAGAGACCGCAGTTTTCGATTCGCCGGCCGCCGATGACGCAGGACATGTCGTCCCGCATAGAGTACTCGGAGAAGTACGTCGACGACACGCATGAGTACAGGTAGGCGCCGACGCCTCATGCGCTCATCCAACCTCATCCGCATGAGGTAGACATGTGATCCTGCCCAAGGAGATGGCCCGCAACTTGCCCGACCGCCTCCTCACCGAGAGCGAGTGGCGCCAGCTTGGCGTGCAGCAGAGCCGTGGCTGGGTGCACTATGCGATCCACAAGCCGGAGCCGCACATCCTCCTCTTCCGCCGCCCGCTGGGCACGGACCCGACGACCGGCCGCGTCAACTCGATCTTGGAGCGCGAAGCCAAAGAGAAGTACGCCCAAGACATCGGACAAGGACGTCAGTAAGATAGCCAACATGATTTATACCGTCCAACGCGTCGTCCTGGCGTAAGCGCCCATCGCGCTCGCGCGTGGAAACGTCCTCGTACTGTACAATGTGTGTTATAAGATTAGATGGATTCAAGGTACGCGACAATGGAGGCGTGGCCATTCCGTGCGGCCCACGAGACTGCGTCCCGCCAGCCCTCGCGTCGGTGCTGCACGAGGAACTCGACCACATGCAAGTGGCCGTGCGCGGCTGCCATATCGATCGCGAGCGTTGTTGCCCCTTCGTGGCGATGCTCGTGCAAAAACGCGACGACCTGCAGATGCCCGTTCCCAGCCGCTTGGTCCATGGCCCGCGACGTACACCCTTCCGACCGTTGCTGGTGCAGAAATGTGACCATGTCGAGGTGGCCGCTGCCGGCAGCGCTGTCCATGGCGTCGCGCGTACAGCCCTCCGTGCGGTTCGCGTGCAGGAAGCGAACGACGTCCATGTGACCGTTGGCGCACGCGCGGTCCATGGCCGACGTCGTGCACCCTTCGCCTCGATGGGTGTGCAGAAACCGGACAATGTCAAGGGACCCGCGCCCGGCCGCGCAATCCATCGCATACGTGGACGCGCCGAGGCCATGGTCGTGGAGGTAGCGGACCATCTTGAGGTGCCCGCTTTCTGCCGCCAGGTCCAGCGTGTGCTCGGTCCAGCTCTTCGTGCCTTGGGCGTGAAGGTACGTGACAAGATCGAGGTGGCCGCTGCTCACCGCCATGTTGAGCGCGTTTGGCGAGCAGCGTAAGGTTGGGAGGTGCAACGTGACGTACTTGACCGCGTCCAAGTGGCCAAGGTGCACAATGTGATCGAGCACGTCCGGCGTCATAATATCGGGCTGGCACAAGACGAGTCGCTGGAGGAGGCGGAGACCTTTCGCGAGTTCCAGCGCAGCGACGAGGAAGCTTGTGCGTGCGTGGAGGCGCTTCGCGCGCCAGTCGCGGAGGATGGGCCGGACCTCGCGGTACAGGCCACCTTGGAACGTGGCAATGGTCGAGAGGAGCTCGCGGTTCAGCAGCACGTCGGAGCTGCTCCTTCTTCCTGCCATCGTGCTGGTGCAGAAATGGCACCTGCGGGACCTGGTCGCGGCCAAGTTCGAACTTCGATTTATGTGCTGCACACAGCCGTGGCACGCGAAGTTGCCGTTGGTACTTCGAGGTGCATTCTATGTCCCAGCTTGACGCTCGAAAAACGAAGCTTCTCGCACCTCGCCTTGCGCTCGCGCAGCAGACTCGGAGGCGCGAGAGTGCCAAGCCGCCACGGCGAGGACCTCGCAGTTGATCGTGATAGCTCGTGGCCCTGCTATTTGACGAGCTGATAGCGCGCTGATAGCTGTGTGTATGCTGCCGTAGGTAACACCCCCTGAGGAATTCTCAATTCCACCCCAAGAAGATCGCTTGGCGTCCGAGCTGGAGCAAGTTGGTCGATCAAACTCGCTACCTATGGACCAATACACGTACTCGTACTATTACCTCGGTTTGAAAGTGCTGGGATCAAGTGGATGGGGCTACTTACTTCTGATGAGCACGAGTAGTCCATAAACTCTTGTGATGCGGCGCCTCTGCTGCCCACCGACGACCGACCCTCGGTGCTATCTACGCAGCTCCAAGCACGTTTTTGCGTCAAAGATTCCAGTTGCGTCGTTCGATTCGTGGCGTCCACCCGTTGCCCGTTCTAGCTTTGACGTCACCAGTCACCGCTCCCTGTGTCATCGATGAGCCCAACGAAAATGATATCCACGGGTGGTGGATGATATAATCTGTGCCCAAATTCCAAGGTGGTAAATTCGAGGGAAGCGCTCTTCCATCACTTCGGCTTGTCTGCCCATCGCAGTGCTCGAGTTTGATGGACGATTCGTAGAAGCGCGTCCTTTTCGATCGATCGGAACCAGCGGACTCGACACCACGACCGCAGCACTAAGATGACTAAGATTATACTTGCATTGCGATGAGGACGATTGCGTTGTGAAGCCTGTGACGAAGCGTGTTGCTCACTGTCGGCCACAAGCGCCTCTACATATGCTAAGGCTATGTAATGAAGAGCCTCGAAACACGCTCGTTCATATATGAGGACGTGAGGGTGGCGCAGGCAAGAGTGACGTGGTCTCGGCGCCTGGCGGGCCCATGTAGATGAACGAGATCGTTCGGCAGCAGAGCTGGCTACATTGCGTGGTCAAGCACGCTGCGCAAAGGGCTGCCACCGTGGCGGCGACGGGTGACGCACCGACGTGTTCGAACGTTACTGGGGGTCGAGCGTCTCGTGGTATCGTAAGAAGATCTCAGTAGGCAGCACCTTGCTCTTTGATCAGCACCCATCGCTTCTGCAGGGCAAGCGCCTAGTATCAACGTATCGGGACGAGCCCTACCCCTCGTCGCGCCCGCGTAAAACCGGCGGCGACGTCCTAAGTACGCGGAATTTGCGCTACTCTTTGTTTCTGTATGCGCGGGCGGCGCCGAGGACGGGGGACTTAGCACTTAACGCACCTCAGCAGTTGAGTTGGAGCACGCCGTGGGCGAGCGATGGCGATCGACGGCGCTCCTCGTGGCGACGCGGGCGGGCGCGGCGGAGGAAGGGCCCAATAGTATGGGCGACTGTATGGTATAGAGAGGCGCAGAGTAAAAAAGTCACTGGCTCGCAGGTCTGTGAAAGAGAAGTCAGAAGCATGGACGAGAAGCTCGTGGTCGTCTGCCTCCTTGTGGGCACGGGCAAGAAGGAGGGCCCGTTCGTCGTCGTGACGTCAACCTCGGACCTCGTCGGCGAGCTCAAGCAGGCCATCCTGCGCGAGAAGCCGCGGACCTTTGGCGACCTCGAGGCCGACGAGCTCGTGCTGTACCGCTGCCGCAACGTGCAGCCGCTCGACGCCAACATTTTGCAAAAGCTGGAAAAGCCGGCCGCACAGATCGTGCTGCAGATGCAAGTGGGCGGCCTCGTCGAGGAGATGACGGTCTTCTCCAAGCTGCGCAAGTACTTTGAAGTCCGCCCGGAAGACGAGCGGATTCACATCCTCGTCAAGCTGCCGATGGCCGCCGTGTCCAAGGTCGCAGCCGCCCGCACGACCCGCATGAACAACCTCACCCTCGACAAGAAGATCATCGGTACCGCGGCATCGCCTCGGCCGCCAGCGTCTCATATGCTTCTAGCTGGCGTCGACACGGACGAAGAGCGCGCGATGGCCCGCATGGTCGCGCCGTCGCCATCGGCGTCCATGGCGATGCAAGAGCCCAAGAAGCGTGGCACGGGCAAGCGCCTCACAGACAAGGAGCGCATGGAGATCCTCCAAGTCATCGAAACTGGCACCAAGGTCACGCACGTCGAGCTCGCGCTCCGGTATGGCATCTCCGAGTCGGCGATCCGCAAGCTGCGCAAGAACAAGAGCGAGGTCCAAAAGCGGTACATGCTCGGGAACAAGCACGTACGCGACTTGCGCCAGCGCGGCTCGAAGCTTGGGAACGCAGCCTTTGAGGACGAGCTGTACCGCGTCATCTTTGACTTGCAGTCGCACGAGTCGCGCATGAGCTCGACCTTTGTGCGCAAGAAGGCGCTGGAGATTGCGCCCAAGTACAACATGGTCGCGTTCAAAGCTAGCGCTGGTTGGTACCGCCGCTTTTGCTCCCGATACCACCTCAACCCCGGCAACACGACCGCGCTGCAGCTGCAGGCACTCGTGGACGAGGTCGCAGGCGAAGACGCGGTCCAGGCCGCGGTGCAAGCGCAGCAGCATCTGATCAACATGCAGATGATGGAGATGCAGTCGCACCACTTGCACGCCCACATGGTGCACGACGTGAACGCGAGCTTGACGATGGACCCGTCCGGCGACATGGACCCGCGCCACGAGACGGTCATTTAGGACGACAGGACTAGAAGTAGGAAGCAGCAAGGGCGTATCTATAGTAATGTACTATTGTGTGTTTACATGTTGGACAAGGAGTTCTTAGTCGTCAAAGTTCCACGTGCCACGGACCGTGACCGCGCCCGTGTCGTGGAGGTCGGCCTCGGCGGCGAGGACTTCCTCCGGCGTCTTCTTGATCAAGTTGACCTGGCTCGCCTCCTTCTCCTGGTCCTATGACGACAGCGTCAGCATCGTAGTCGGTTGTCGTTGGTACCAATTCGCCCATGATGACAATGTTTTCGCCGCTGCAGGATGCATGATGATGATGATGAACACCCGAGATGGACATACCGAATGATGTAGAGCCCCAGCGGGATATCGCAGTACGTGTTGCCGACGACGTGGCGCTCGCATGTATCTTGCAGCACAATGTTGGCTACACATGCGCGTCGTGAGGCATCGAGGTACGGGCGACGACCACGCACAGTATTGGTCAAAGCTGCGGAAGACGCCAACGAGGTGGCGGCCGTCGCGCAGGACGACGAGCATCTGCTCTACGTAGCGTAGCCGCCATGGTCAGTAGCATCCTGCCATGGGCGCATGGGCCATCCGCGTCGTACTGTCGAGGAGCTCGGTCATGCTCGTGACGCCGGGGAACTGGTTCATGCTGCTGCTGCTGGCTGCGTCGTTGAAAATGCTGTCCACCTCGAAAACGCCACGCGCTCCGTAAAGTTCGCCAACTACACTATTTCATGCATGCTCACGTGAAATCGTGTATGCAACTCAACCAGAATATAGTGTGTTACATTGCAGAGGGCATGGCGGTCGAGGGAAAGGACGTTGGCTCGCACGTGCGCTTACTGCGCTTGGGTGCATTGGAGCGCACTTGCAGGTAGGCAGGATGTGGAGGATGGAAGCCTCAATTCGAGGCATGAGGCCGCCTTGACACGTGTGGCATCACACTATTTCACGCCCACCACACGAAAACGAGCAGTGGATTTTGCAAGCATCGACCGACCAGCCATCATGGCCGACGAGATGACGGTAGCTCTTCCTGGTGATGCGCTCGGTGCTTGATGCGAGGTAGATCATGCGGTTCATCCGCCCCATTTACGACGCCATCGACAACCGCCAGTACAAGAACGCTATCAAGCTCTGCAACCAGAAGAAGGTGTGCGACATCGACCTTGTCCAGGTGCTCCAAGCGCACTGCCTCGAGCGCATTGGCAAGATCGACGACGCGCTCCGGATCGTTCGCCGCATTGCGCTCAAGAAGCCGACGGAAGAGACGATTCTGAGCACGATGCAGCTCGTCTTCAAGCTCTGCGGCGCCGCCCACGAGATGCTGCCCGTCTACGAGAACGCCGCCGTCCTTCAGCCGACGAACGAAGAGCTCCAAGCGCAGCTCTTCCAAGTGTACACGCGATCGCTCATGCTCGCCAAGCAGCAGCAGCTCGGCTTCAAGATGTACAAGACGTTCAACAAGCTCCAATACGTCGGTACGCTCGCTTCTTCGCTTGGCAATCCTATAGGACCGTGGTAGGCTGGGCGTGCTTGAGCATGCTCCTGCAAGTCACGATCGAAAAGTCGTTGCCGATGAAGATGCTGCCGCTTGCCGACAAGATGCTCGCAAAAGCCCTCCGCGACCACCCGGCCGACGCCAACGGCGAGGCCGTCTCGCTCCTCGTGCTCTTGCTGCAGGCCCAAGGCAAGCCGGCCGACGCCATGGAAGCGTTCACCGAGTTCATTCACGTACTCGAGACGGACGAAGCGCCAACGACCAAGCCCCGCGCTCTCGAAGGCGAAGGCGTCACGGAAGACGAGATCGACCTCGGCCCGATGCAAGCCATCGACCGCCTCGTGCTCGAGGCGGGCCTGGCCAAGGACGTCGGCGACCTCGAACGGTGCGCGGCTGTCTACGAGAAGCTGCTCACGACATACAACGCGGACGACTGGGCGTTCTGGTGTGGCTTGATCGAGGCGGCCAAGGCGCCCGACTCCGTATTGCCCGTGATCACGGCGCTTCAAACGGCGAACGGCAACCGGCTCCGCGGGCCGTACTTGGCGGAAATTGAGCTGCAGTTCCAGCACGTAGCAAAGACGGACGACGCGGCCGTGCAGCGCACGTTGCTGCCGCTCCTCCTCGCGTATCTCGAGCGGTTTGCGAGCAAGACGTGCTGCTTCACCGACGTGCAGCGGTACCTGACAGCGCTGCCGGACGGCGCGCGCGCGGCGCTGGTCGCTTCGATCTCGAGCTCGCTCTCGACGACGCTGACGGCGACCGACCTTCCTGGCGCGACGCTGCAGTTTCGCAAGAGCTTGCTGTCGCGCAAGACGCTCCGGTTCCTTGGCCAAGACGCAAGCCTCTCGCGCGACGACCTCGTCGCCAAAGCGAATGCGTACCTGGCCGAGTACGACGCTGCTCAGTGGCTCAACGAAGCCAAGGTCGGCGGGCAGCGCGAGGTGCAAGTCACGGACGATCTGCTGCTGCTGGCCGTGCACTTGCACTTGGACGCCTATACCGTCGCGTCGTCCGCCGACCTTCTCGTGCAAGCCGCGGCCGCGTTGGAGCTCGGGCTGAGTCGCAGTGCGTACAACTTCCAGATGAAGATGCTGCTCTGCCGCGTGTATGCGCTGCTTGGCGCGGGCGACGCGGTCTTGAGCCGCTATAAGGAGCTCGACATCAAGCAGATCCAGCTCGACTCGCTCTCGTACCTTGTGCTCGACGGCCTCTTTGGCCTGCAGATGGACAAGGACGGGCTTCGCCTCTGCGAGTCGATCCGCGCGCTGCATAAGACCACGTCGCGCGACACGCCCGAGTTCATTGGCCGCGCGTACCGTCTCGGCGTCTACTCCAAGGCGCAAGACATGACGTCCTTCCTGCTCTGCAAGATGCGCCGGTCCGAGATGCTGGCGCTCGCGACCGCCGAGCTCGCGCACGCGCAGCTCCTCACTGCATGCTCGTCGGCGACGTATCTCCACAGCCACCTCGGGGACCCGTCGCTGCAGGCCGAGCTCGACGGGTTGCTGGCTTCGGAAGCGACGCTCTCGGCCAACCACCACCGCGAAGTTGAAGTGACGTGGACGGCCCCGACCACCAAGGCACGTTTGAAGAAACTCGCAATCTTTGATTGTGAGAACTTGATGTAGGACGGCGCGTACCTCTTTGCTTCAGCGGGCGTCTCGAGCTGCGACCGGACGCGCGACAGCACGAGCCTTCGGGCGTGGCTGGAGCTCCGTGCGGTTGTGCCCAAGCTGCTGGCGGCCGCGCTCGACGCATCGCCCGAGGTAGACACGTCTCGATGTGGCGTGACATGCAATATGACTCTGGTAGACGGCCACGCATGTGACGACGCTGCAGCGGCTGTTGAGCGTGCTGACAGTCGCGCCCTTGACGGCCGAGTGGCAGCTCGTCAACGAGGCGTCGCAGGCGCTGGAGGCGGTGGTTGCTAGCGACCTGCCGCGCGCCAAGGCGGCGCTGGACCGTCTCGCATCCGTGGTTCCGACGGTGACAGCGCTGCAGCTGCAAGCGGTCGACGGCGTCGTCGCCGCCCATGCGCTCTCCAAGGCGTCCATCTTCCTTCGCGATGTCATTCCGTACAGCGCAATGCTGCTTTCGGTCGCGATGAAGCTCTTGAAGCCCAAGAAGAAGACCAAGGACCCTGTCCAGAAGGACGTCTCGGAGCTCTTGCGACAGCTCGTGCTCAAGACGACGACGCTGCTCACGTCGGGCGACAAAGCGCTGCGCCAAGTGCACGTTCGCGTCGATGGCGACGCAGCCATCAAGGACAAGGTCGAGTCGGCGCAAAAGGCGAGTCTCGAGCGTCTCTCCAAGACGATTGCAGACCGCGTCGCGTTCCTGCGGTCGTTGTGAGAGAGGCGAGATGCGATCGGTAGCATATTTGGCCGCGTTTAAAACACACACAACGACTCTACTGCTGCTGCGTGGCCTTCCAGTCCCGGTAGCACGCCTCCATGGCCGCCTGCTCCTTACGGCAGAGCTTGAGCTCGTGCCAGTTCTTGTCCATGGCGTTCTTGTACGCCGTGTACGACGGCCCGCAGTGCGTCTCGAGCGTCCGGAGCGTCTTGAGCACGCACGTGGTGACGGCTTCGCCCGGGATCAAGCACGCGCGAGGGTTCTCGTCCTTGCTCTTGCAGATGAGGAAGGCCTTGTTCACGCCCGCGCACTCCTTCCCGAAGATCGGCGCCGCGCACGTCAAGGCGGTCGAGTCTGTGGACGGGGCGTTCGAGCTCATTGGCACCACAAAAAATAGGTCTCAGCACCGACCAGCCAATCCCCTCTTAAAATGCATCTTTTCGCCGACCTGTCATAGTACATATCCTGTATGTTTGCATTCCATTAAACCTGTCACAATGTATATTGCTAAAACGGCACGACGCCCGAGGAGCGTGGCAACGATACCAAGTATACGTACAGGTAGGGCTCGTCCATGGGACCTACCAATCATTTGCAAACCGGTCGATCGCGCTCTGCGGCGGGCTTGCTTCCGGACATACTGGCTTGTCCGCTTTACACGATCCGTAGTCTTCAAAAATTGGGCGTGAAGGGTTAATTTCTCACTCTAAATCTTAAAAACTGCCAAAGATGGGCAATCAAGCTTGAAACTTTGTGGCAGCAACGAACGACCTTGTGGCTGTGCGGTAGGACAACGCGCTGACCGCATCGAGACCAAGACGGGCGTCATGGGCGCAGGTCTGGCCGCACGACCTATGGCTTACTTCCGATTCGCCCATTTAAGCCTGCAATCAAGCACACGCAGGAGATCACGTTCCATTCTCAGCACGAGACGTCGTCCGTAACGAGTCCTTTTATCTTGCTCGTCTTGCGCGCAATCGTCGCGTTGCCGGCGACCGTTCAAGATCTCGTCCGGTGGTACCTTTTCCGGATGAAATGGACGAGTTCCGGATAATGTGGCGGCCATGTGACACAACGGCCACTTCAAAGATCGGTGTGCAACTCGAACGCCGCCGTCTCTCCCACCATGGCAATGCGCTTTGACAACCAGTGCGACGCCGAGGCGCGACCGAGCTCGGTCTTTGCCGATAAGAAGGCTGACTCCGTGGCAGCTGGGCCCGAAGCGGATGACGCCGACGAGGTCGAAGCGACGCATGTCGAGTATGACGACGAGTACACGTCCGAAGACGAAGAAGAAGGCGATGGCCTTGACGGCAAGGACTTTGCCATGTTCAAGGTGCTGGTCGTCGGCATGGCGAAGAGTGGGAAGACGAGCCTCATTCGCCGCTTCGTGCATGGCACGTTTGCCGACATTTACAAAACGACGGTCGGCGCCGACTACAGCGACAAGACGATTGCTATCGACGACACGCTGGACGTGTGCCTCCAGATCTGGGACATCGCCGGCCAAGACCGGTTCGCGCACCTCACGCGGCGGTACTTTGCCCATGCCGACGCTGCGGTCATTGTGTGCGACATCACGAGCGAGCCGACGATCGCAGCGGTCGTCGACTGGAAGCGCGAGCTCGACGCGTGTTGCGATTCATCGTCGACACCCTTTCCCGTTCTGCTCGTCGCCAACAAGTGCGACTTGCTGCTCGACGTGCCCCAAGCCCTCGAGTCGGGCGTCGCGATTCAAAAAATGGTGACTACGACCGGCATCGAAGACTGGTTCCGCGTCTCCGCCAAGAGCGGCGAGAAGGTCGACGAGGCCATGGACCTTCTCGTGACGCGCATGGTGCAGCGCCACCGCGCCAAGCAAGCCAACGACGAGTATGACGAGGCTGCAGTCGACGACAAGCCCGACGCCGTGAGCAGTCGCGACATCATCCGGCTCGATGCCACCACGTTGGCTGCCCCACCGCCGACCGGCGGTCGCTGCGACTGCAATTAGCCACAGCATGCGTAGCGCCTCCTCCTATACGTCTACCCTGCGTCGTGTCCACCAATAGCATCCTTCTTGACTTCCTTCGCGCGCTGTCGTCTTGCGCACGCCACGTCGGTTGCGAAGCAAAGTGGCAACGTGACGACGCGCTCGTCACCACGTACGCCACCAATCGCAGCGGTGTGATCTTCCACCGGCGTGTGGGGTGTATCGGAGATGGCGGGAACGATTTTGCAAGAGGAACTTCCCTCATTGCCCATGTGCGAGTGACTTGCACCTGGGTCCTACCGCTCCCCAATTCGGTTCGGTCGAAGCAAGCTCCGTCCTCGTCGTGGGCCTCACGGCGGCCAACGATCCCTCGTTGGCATGGCCGGTATCGGCGTCGGCGGCGAAGCTGCTTTCTGCGGCGGCGGCTGCTTGCGTCGTCCTGCCGCGCGGAGGGGCAAGGTCGCTGCGTCCAGATGAAAAAAGGTCATTTCGACATACAAAGAGCCAGTCAAAATGGCAACTCGGAGCGGTTATCGAGTATTTTCGCATTGACGGGCTGGAGCCAGCATGTGCCGCATGACGATCTACAAGGGCCTGGGCCTCGAGCAGTCGATCCTGCTCGCCGACCTCATCGTCAAGCCCAAGCACAGCATCATCCACCAGAGCTACAGCTGCACGGAGCGCTTCCACAACACGGGCCTCCCGCCGACGCTCAACGCCGATGGCTTTGGCATTGGCTGGTACGCCGAGAAGCTCTACAGCAGCAAGAAGCGGCGTCACGACGACGACATGCCGTCGCCCAAGAAGCAGCGCCGCCATTCGGACTCGGTCGACGGCGTCGTCGTCCCGCGCGACCGCGAGTACGAGACGCCGTGTGTCTTTACGAGCATCTCGCCCGCGTGGAACAACCGCAACTTGGTGCAGCTCGCCGACAAAGTGAGGTAGATGCGCCGCTCCATCGTCGCACGTGGTGCCATGGTCGTACGTAGTTCGCCGCTCTTTTTCGCCCACGTCCGCGCCGCCTCGATCGGGTCGCTCACGTCCGAGACCAACTGCCACCCGTTCACGTTCGACAAATACCTCTTCATGCACAACGGGTAATGGTACCTCTCGTGGTTTGTGATCTCATGAACGGTGCGTAGCGGTGTTGCCGACTTTAACAAGATCAAGCGCAAGCTCGTCGACCGCCTCAGGTGCGGCGCCGTCTCGGGCGATTGCTCTCAACGACCTGCGTAGCGACGTGGCGTACGATATGATTCGCGGCAGCACCGACTCGGAGCACTGGTACACGTCGTTCTTATACCTGCAAACTCCTAATGTTGATGCATGCTAGCTTTGCGCTGTACCTCACGGAGCTCGAGAAGCTCGGGCCGCTCGAAGGCGAGTTCACCGGCAAGGAGATGCGCCACGCTATGTTCAACACGATCAAAATCCTCAACGCCCTCTCCCGGTACGACCTCTGCGGTGCGATATGATCGTCCATAGCATCTTCTAGGGAAGCTGAGATCACGGAGCCGTCGCTGCTCAACTTTGCCGTCACGGACGGGGACACGCTCATTGCGTAGGACCCAGTGACACGTTGTGTCATGACGGCTCACGCGTCGTAGGACGCGCTACGTCAACGTCGCGTCGTCGGGGGCTGCGTCGCTCTACTTTTCGTCCGGGTCGCGCTGGATCCGGTCTGTGGAGCGGCCCAAGGAGTACATCATGCAGCGGGTAGAGCCATGCGCGGCTGCTTCGAGTCGTCTTACGCCGATGGTATAGCACAACAAGGAAGAGAAGGTGTTTGTCATGGCGTCCGAGCGCTTGTCCAACGAGCCGGGCGACTGGCTCGAGGTACCATTCGATTGCTAGTCCTCGTAGACTGCATCGCCAACTAGGTGCCGAAGAACGCGATCGTGACCGTCTCGGCCGAAATGAACATTCAAATTTGCCCCATCAAGAGCCTCCTCGACGATGAGATCGAGCCAGAAGTCACAAAGCTCGAGCATACCAAAGTCTTGTAGCTTCAATGGTTGCACTTGTTGCTCCTGGGTCGCTGCACGTAACGCGTGTCGCTCCGCCACGTCATACCGCCGCCCCGCCTTGTGCCGAATTGGATTTATCGTAAACGTATAGCGCTTGGAGCATCGACCGTACACCCTTTGGCTCGAGCTCTTGTAGCCGTGCACGCTCCATGATGGCAGGCGTCATGGCGCCGCGCACGTTGAAGCGGCCATGTTGCGTGCGGTGCTGCAGCAGCGAGTGATTGGCCAAAAAGCTTGAAATCCATGGCGCGCAATTCAATGGCGGAAGCGCATCTTGTCTTGCGGTTTGTATACTGGATCGCGCAATAAAATAAAAAGGCCGCCGGGATCTCGCCTCCCATTGGTAGAAAAGGTGACGATTACGATTGGCCCTGGATGCCCTGTATAAAATAGCGCGCGCTCGTCAAATACCTTGGCCTTTGTATGTGGAATGTAATCGGGCTTTTGACCGATTGGCCGATACCTGTGCAGTATCAAAAACGTCAAAGCCACGACCGCCAGTCGATTGCCATTTAATTGGGCCGAGCGATGTGGTTGGTGGACGCTAGGGCCCGGGTTGAGCCAGCGCTTGGCGGAGGAGGCTAAAGCCTGGTTTACTTGCTCAATCCTCTTACTAGGTCCGATGCATCCTCTCTCGCCAAGGCCGATCGGCTCATGATGGCTCCTGTAGACATGGCTGACGAAATTGCTCTCGCGCGTGAACGCCTCGCCGCCAAGTTTGGCGACGTCCGCACCGGCGGCAAGGGCTCGGTGCGCCGAAAGCACAAGGCGGCGCACAAGCCCGCCCCGGGCGATGACAAGAAGCTCAACGCCGCCCTCAAGAAGCTCGGCGTGACGCCCATGCCGGACGTGAACGAAGTCAACCTCTTCAAGGCCGACGGCCAGGTCATCCACTTTGTCCAGCCCAAGGTCCAGGCCTCGCTCGCCTCCAACACGTTCGCCGTCTCGGGCCCTGCCTCGACCAAGTCGCTCCAGGAGTTGCTCCCCGGCATCATCAACCAGTTGGGCCCGGACAACCTCGCCAACTTGAAGCAGATCGCCGAGACGTACACGGCCATGCAGCGCAACGCCCAGGGCCACTCGGCCCTCGATGACGAAGACGATGACGATGTCCCGGACCTCGTCGAGAACTTCGAGGACGTCAGCGAACAGGATTAAACAAGCCAACCCGTTGTAGTAGACATCATGCACCTGTAGTCTACCCTTTTCGTCTCTAGTACACACCCCGAGCGTGCGCCAGGCTTACACTTTTTCTTCTTCGTCTTCGCCTCGTACTGCATTAGTCGGATTACCCAACGCGACGGACCGTGCCCGCCGACCCGTCAAAGTAAAAGTAGTTGCAGAGTGGCTCGTCCTTGAGCGAGATGGCCTTGATGATCTCTTGGCCGAGAATGCCGGCCGTGATCGCGCACACGGGCACGACGTCGGCGTGGGCCACCTTGGCCAGCGTCGCGAGCACCTCGGACGAGAAGAAGTCGCGCGCCAGGCCTTGCTTCTCGAGCTGGTCGTGGGCAAAGACAGCGAACGCAGCAGCGACGGCCGACGACGGAAATGCACCGTGCGCATCGCAGTAGTCGAGGAGCACTGCAGCGTACATGAGATCGAGGACCCAAGAAGGAATAATAATTGCCACGTACGTTGGTAGGCCACGTACGGCTCGGGAATGCCCGGGCCGCGCTTTCGCGTCGACTTCAAGTCGGCCCATCGCACGCCGATCGAGGTCGCAAGTGACGGGAACTCGAGTGTGATGGCCGGCGGCGCCTCGGCGTTCTCGACGCCTGCAGGCACGTTGCGCCGATACGTGTGCATGTTGAGGTCGGCGAAGAAGATGCCCGAGAGCCCAAACGCATGCCCTGCGTAGAACGCAATGTTCTTTTCGCGGCAGATCGTGTCCAAGTGCACCTGGAGCATAATAGGCATGAGCTGTGCATCACGAAAATGGTCGTGCAACCTGGAGCTTGCGCGGAGCTGACATGACACAAACGACGCTAAATGTGCCAAAGAAGTCGGCCGGGTACTCGATCAACGGCTTTGTGAGCGCTTCGACCTTGACGAGCGGGTTCAAGTCGCGCACGCCAGCGAGGCAGGCGTCGGCGAGCTATGGACGTCCATGTCATTAGCAACCGCGCCCAAGGTATCGATGTCAATCGTACGTTCTGGTCGATGTGCTCGGCGCGAAGCAGAAACTGCGACTCGACGTGGGCTTGGGTCACGACGTTCGTGTCATGGAGCGTGACGTTCATGCCCGAGAGCACGAGGTTCTTGGCGAGCTCCGCACCGAGCTGCGTGAGGCCGCTGATGAGCACATGCGAGTTCTGAAGCCGGCGCTGGGCCTCGACGCCCCAGAGGCGCATCTGTCGGTCATAGACAGCCGCTTCCTGCGCCGTGAACTCGACCTCAGGTTCCATCTTCGTCCAAATTGTATTGGCGACCACAGTCGTATCTACGTTCTTATATCAAGGACTTCATAGTTCGTATATCACATGCCCTACATTATTATATACCATTAACAGTATTTCACGTAGCGCAATCTAATTATAGACGTGGCAGTTTGCTGGATGCTGCGCCGGACCGAGAACCAGGACGAGCCTTGGCAGCGCCCGTCGACGTCGTCGGGACGCAAGCACCGGCAGAAGCCCAAGGCGCCCAAGAAGCAGCCGCCGGCGCCCGAGGTGACCGCGGCCACTTGCGCCAGCCATGCTAACAGCGTCTCGTAGCGCTCGACGACGCAGTATGCAGACAAGCTCAATGGGCTCATGTCGACCGAGCGCGACCAGTTAGCCCAGCAAGTGCTCATCGCCGCCGAGAAGGGCAACAAGAAGGCCATGTACTTGCTACTACATCAAGGCGTGTCGCCACAGCACTGCCTCGGCATGGTGCCACCTTTATCTATTCACGGGCACCTCATCATTCCTGCGTAGCAAGGCTACACGCCGCTGCATCATGCTGCGACGCGCGGGCACTTGGCGATCGCCGAGCTCTTGGTGCAGTTTGGCTGGCCGCTCAACCAGACCAACAAGGTACACAATGACGCACCACGTTGCGTCACCAACCGGGTGGTCTAGTTTGGCGAAGCCGCACTGCACTTGGCGTGCCATGGCGGTCATTTCCACATTGCCGAATTCCTTCTGGACAAAGGCGCCGACGTCAACGTCGTCACCAGCGTACACGACAAGTTGACCAAACTATCGCTACACGCACTGCTAGGACCACGAGACTGCGCTCTTTTACGCAGCTCGGAAAGGCCATTTCCGCATCGTGCGCTTGCTGCTGCGGCGAGACGTCGACTGGCGCATCCGGAATCGCTTCGATGACATTGCCGAAGACGAAGCGACCGAGGAGCGAACCCGGCACGAGTTTGATTCCAGTGCGAGCCATCTCTCCCATATCTTGGCTCACAAGTGAGCTATGTGCAGGCAAGGAGGACGCTGACCGACTTGGTCGCGAGCCAACGCGCCGACCACGGGGTACGTGCACGCACCGTGTAGGTCAAAGCCTTGACGTGCATAGGGCCTGAGAGCACACTCCAAACCAAGCACCGCGAGCATATATTTTCCTACCTCCCACTACCGTACACCTTGCGCAGTAATTGAACCGATGAGCTCACTGCTTTGGATGCAGGGACCTGAGCCGCGCGTTGCAGGTTTGCTACCGCTGGCAGCGGGCAGCTGATGCGCCACGGCTCTGGGCGCGCTTCAAGGTGTCGCGCTGGGAGCTTTCGTTGAACAAGTCGTTGGGCCTCGGGCTTGTCGCGCCCATGTCGGGGTACCGGCCCAAGCAAGCGACAACGCGAAAAGGCCGACCGTCGACGAGCGGCGCCGACTTGTTTCTGCACGCGCTCGGACTTCCTTCGGTGGCCATGTCGTGCTCCAAAGCCGAGAGCCAGCGCCGACCGCAGACGGCGATCGTCGCACCAAGGCTGCTCCTCTCGCCCCGCGACTTTTACCCTCGATAAAGACACCTCTCTTCGTCCTAGCGTTCTGTCCTTTTGTCATCCTGCTTTTCATTTGACAGAAGCTCATGGGATTCTCGGCCATCACCATACATCTCGGATGGCGCGCTCAACTGGCAACTGGCACACCGACTGCTGCACAGTCCAAAACTACAAATTGCAGATCCGCACCGTTGTCGTCGCCTCCACGAGGAGCAGTGAGCCACACGCTTTGAGCCGCCCGTATAGAAAAGCCCTTTGGTCTGCATACGTGCTCTTCAGTTAGCAGTTGAGCGCACCGCGAGCCGGTGATATGCCCGATCTACTGCGTATTAAATGGTCGAAGCAGCCGTACTGACGGGCTCATGACGGCCGCGATGGCTGCGGTCGACGTGCTCGTCCCGGCTGGCGCCTCTCTCGACGCACCGCGCAGCACCAGTACGAGCTCGTCAAGCGAAATAAGCTCTTATTTTCCCTGGTGCTCGTGCTCGTGGTCACCCCTGCGCGCTGGTCCAGGTCATGGACTGCTTGCACCTACGCGTTGTCGCGACGCTTCATGACGGCCGACAAACTTGACCAAATGACATTCATTGACGAGATACCGATGGAGAACGACCCGCCAAGTGCCTTGCATGCGCGGGGACCATGGTGTCATCGCTCGTCATCTTATTTGGCTGCCGCGGCGCTGGCTGTGCGTGATCACAGCACCAACCAGGAGAGTGAGCATAGTGTATGCGAATGCGGCTCGTCAAGGCCTTATCCTTGCTTCGGGCGATGTCGCCTGTCGACCGTATCGCACGGCGGGTAGGCCGGCGCTGCGCGAGATGATGTTGACACGGTGCAACTCGGACATTGTGTTTACAGCGGCTATATTAAACGACACGGGTCCGTCCACCAGAGGTATTTCGACAGTGTCAAGTCTAGGGGTGGGCTTACTTTCGGGCCGCACGACGGTCGGCGCGCGTCGCCGCGTGGAAACCCGAGCGGATGGCCGCGACGGAGCGGCTCGAGCCGCACTCTTGGCAGTGGACAAAGTGGAGGCGCGAGACGTTGTCGCGCGTGAGCGTCGTGTTGGGGCTGCGGCACATTTGGCACGTGACGTACTCGGTGATGTATTTGCGCAGGAGCGACTCAATGTACTTGGGCACATACCGACCGCGGATGACGAGGCGCTGCGAGCCGTCGATCGAGCCTTCCGTACCGAGTTCCGAGAGCGTAAACTGAAGCACGTGCTCCGGGTTGCGGTGCATCATCTTACAAATCTCCTGAAAGTTGACCCACAGCGTCTTCTTCGTGCCCACGCGCATGAGCTGCGGCGGCTTCATCGTGTGCTTCGTGCGGTTGCTCAGCTCCGGGTTGAGTTCGTGGAGCTTGTTCATGACGCGGTCCAGCATCTCCTCGTACGTGTAGCTCGCGGGGTCTTCAATGCTCGCGTCCACGACCGCCGGCGCCGCCTCCGTCGACGTAGCCACCGCGTCCTCGGCCTCGGTGTCGTTCTTCTTCTTCTTCTTCTTCTTCGTCTTCGAGAGGTTGAACATGCTGGCGACGTCCTCGGGGGCCGCGGGCGCGACGACGGCGTCCGTGCCAGGGGCGGGCAGCGAGCTTTCAACGGCCGACATCTTCGCAGGCAATTCGGGATTCAAGTCCACCCAATGGTTTGATGCGACCAGTCCATTCTTTTGCCTCGCCCGTATTCTATTATATGGAAGATTCTATGCAATAGAATAATATTACGTGCCAAATCCGTGCGTTTGATTGGCTACATTCACTAAGAACTGCCAAAAAAATTCTTGGGGTCGCGCGGCCGACGCTCGACGGGACAGGGCAACGCCGCGTCGCCCAATGTGAGCCCCGATCCAGCACCGTCGCAACGACCATCATGTGCGCCATGGGCTTGTGGCTTGGCGCTTGAAAATGTAGCGCGAATCGCCTTTTTCTGTGGTATTTAGAGCTTTTTTCGTGGTTGATTGAATGTATCAAGCCCAACGTACAAGGAAGGAGGGATAGTGCTGGTCGGTGGGGTCGGTGGGCTGCTCCGGGAGCAGCGACAGGGCTCTCGACTTGAAGAAGCCGCTGCACAGGATGGGCGGGACTGGACAAAGGACTGAAGTACGGGAGTAACACTATTCACAGAAGGGACTAGTGCAGCATATAGTGTGGAGGTGCACGCTCAGTAGTGTTTGATTCGAAAAGCATGGCAGACGAAGCTGATGTTGCCGGACTGCGGGAGGTCGGCGAAGCCGAGGTACAAGCTAGCGGCGACGAAACCGAGCGGCTGGCGGACGCCGACGAAGCGGAGCTGCGGGCGCTGACAGCAGAGCTCGCCAAGATCCAGCGGTCGCGTGCGATGGCACTCGAGCAGATCGAGCTCCTCAAGGTCGAGCGGGCTGCTCTCGAGACACGCTTTGACGCTGAGCGGCGCAATATCGATCGGCGTAACGAGGCCCGCGAGCGCCAAGCCCGTGTCGCCCAGGAAATGGCCGAACAAGAAGCTGCGCAGCAAGCGGCGCGCGACGCATTGCACCGCCCCGTCGAGCCCCAGCTCTATGAGCCACCAGCCAGTGCCACGCATGGCTCGGACGACCTCGACGATCTCGAAGCCTACCTTGAAAACAACTAAGGACACCGGTCCTATTTACCCTCTATACGCTCGCGATATTCTTATCGCTTCAAGCAGCAACCACCCTGCGACCTCTCGCGCGATCACAGTTGGACCACCCCGAGAGACAACGGCAAGCATATTGCATGGGTCCCGGTCCAGCCTACCGCCGATCTGCAGCGCGCTTGCGATCAAGATACCAGCGGCAGCCATCGATGGTCCATGGCTTGTGTCCCGAAGCTGCCACGCACTTTATGCGGATGCCGGATACGAAGGCGCTGCATCCGTTGATTGGCTCGGTTGCGCGAACTTGAATGGACATAAAATGCAAGTAGTGTGCATTTGTTCGAGAGCCCGCGAGATGAGCCCGTTCGTGAACGCCAAGGTAGACGACGCGGATGACCACTTGGATGGAGGAAGCTCATGCATGAGTAGCTCGTCATGAGCTGCAGTCTGGCGCCATGCCACATTCACGATGCGAAGAAGGGCCTCGAGGAGCAGCTCAACCTCATGCTCATGAAGTACTGCGACCCGGTCGAAGGCGTGATCCTTGCGTTCAACGCGATCACGCTCTTGAACCCGTACGGCCACATCATCAACGAGACGCCGTACATCCACGTGCGCGTCGCGGCCGATGCGCTCGTCTTCCGGCCGACGCCCGGCATGGAGCTCTCGGCAGTCGTCAACAAGGTCGGCAGTAACCACATTGGTCTCCTCCTCGCTGGCGTCTTCAACGTCTCGATCGACGCGGCCGAAATGCCCGATGGCTACACCCACAACTTTCACGAAGAAGCCTGGGTCGGCGACGATGGCGTCACGATCGAACTTGGCGCGGAAGTCGCGTTCAACGTCCTTCGGTACTCTCGCCCACCGTCGTCTTGCGTTGGCTCATCTTGTATGTGTAGCGTGCACCAGGCCTATGGTGTCATTTCGATTGACGGCAGCATGCGCCCGGCCAAGAAGACGTCGACGAAGAAGCGCAAGTCGGTGGAACCGGCCGCTGTCGTCGTCGCGGAGCCCAAGAAGGTCAAGAAGACCAAGAAGGAAGCGGCTGTCAAGAACGAGGAAGATGAGATCCCGACGCTCAAGAAGACCAAGAAGCCCAAGACGATCGTCAACAACAACACGGACGATGTTCCGGTCGTGCTCAAGCCCAAGAAGCAGTCGAAAAAAACCAAGACTGCATAATCAAATGGCTCGAATATACTTATAACTCGATATACAATTGTCGTGTAGCTTACGGCAGCGAGACGGGCGTGGAGCGCAGACGCGGATCCGCGGCCATCGGGTGGAGGTCGTCCGCACCGAGCAGGTACCAGTGCGGCGACTGCTGCGCCCGGTGCCACTTGAAGTCGTGCACTTGCGCGTACAACGGCGACGGGCGGTCCATGCCCGATGCTTCGAGCTGGGCACCAAGGCCGTCAAACTGCAGCGTGTACGGTGCAAAGCCCAACTTGCTGCAGTCTTCAATGATCGGGTGGCTCGAAATACGGAGGTAGAAGCGCGCGTTGTGGCAGTGGTGCACGCGCAGCTGACGGCAAGCTACCGTGAACGAGCTCTCGGTGCAGTCTTCGAGCCAGAGCGACCCAGCGATCGGCCCCGTGAGCACGTGGCAGTTGCGGAGGGCGGTCGCGCGCAGCGCCGATGTCGGCGTGACAATGCACACGATGCAGTTGGTCAAGCGCGCCAGCGTCAAGTCGGGCGATTCCGGCGCGTCGATGACGAGCACCTCGTCACACCGGTCGGCGTAGATGAGCTCGTGGTCGAGTGTGGCCGGTGCGATCGCCGGCGTTGGCGCGTCGGAACTGGGCGCCGTGATGGCCTCGGTCGTCGCCGATGCTTTTTTCGCCCGGGCTTTAAACGTAAACTTCTTACGCGGGGCGAGTGCGCTGCGCTGGGCCTCGATCTCGGCGAGGAGACGCGAGAGGATCGCTTGCGACTGGCGAATGTCGTACGGCGGCAAGTAGAGCGACGCGTCGGCGGCGGAGTCGCGCATCGCCTGGACGCCGGCCACGAGGCTGTCGAGTTCGGCGCGGAGATTGGGCGACGGCTCTTGGCTTTGCAGCGCGTCGAGCCGAGCCCGCGTCGCGGTTTCCATCTCGGTGAACTGCTTCCAGAAGCCGTCGACGGCCGTCGCGCGCGTGTCTTTTTCCGAGAGCGCGGCCTTGCGCTGCGTCGTCTCGCGCTGCTCGGCGCGGGCGTTCTCGACGACGCGGACCTTCTCTTCCAGCGAGAGGTTGTCGGACACGACGAGGAGCGGCGGAAAGGCCTCCGAGACATTGACGCTCTCGGGCCGGACAAACACGCCATGCAGCGGCGCCGCCGCAAAGTACGAGGTACCGTTCTGCGTCCCGTCGTTCTTGCCAAAGGCGAGGTCCAAGCGCACGCCAACCCAGTCGCCGGCCGGGATACCCTCCACGGGGCCAATGTACGCAACCTCGCCGCGACGCTTCCCCGAGATCTCGCAGCGCTGCCCCACGGTCAAGTTCATGGCGGCTGTCGTGGAATCGGGCAATGCCATTGGTTAAAATGCACGCTCTGCATACGGGGTCAGATTTACGCTGACCCATTTTTTGCCGCAGGGTGCAAGCTCGAGCGAGACGACGACGTACTGCTCCACTGCGTGCCCCGTAGGACATCGCGTCAACTCAAGCACGAGCGATAACGTGGGCTAAGTACCCTACCGGTCGCCGGAGGTCAACGTGTTTGGTGTCATTTGATTGCTGAAAGCAGCAGGCAACTGGTTGGCGTGCTGGGATTGGTCAACGTGAAACGGTATCCGATTGGCTCAAAGATTGGCAAAATCGAAAGTGCTGCCGAGTTCCACCGATGTCGGCCGCCAGCACGTTCCGGGCCATTGCGCAGCAGCGCCATTCGGTGAGCCGCTTCCTGCCCACGGCCATCGCCAAGGACGTCGTGCAGGACATCCTCGAGACGACGCGGGTACGCTCGCATGCTCTCTACATGCGAGGTTGACGCCCATTCTAGCGGGCACCGACGAGCCTCAACATGCAGCCGTACGCGTGCATCCTCATTGAGGACGCTGCGGAGCGTGAGGCCATGAGCGCTGCCATGTTGGGCGGCAACGTGGAGAAGGTGCAAAGCGCACCACTCATTGCGGTATTCGCTGCCGACTTGGGTACGACGTTCGATACCTTGTTTCCTGCCCCACGTATGAGGATGCGGCGTAGAGCCCAGCAAGCGCCTGCCCGCTGTCGAACACATGCTTCGCCAAGATGGTGCGAACCCGTCGTACGTCCAGCAGCTCGGCGCCAAGCTGCGCTTCTTTGGCGGCGAAGGCCACTTGGCCGGCGGCCTCCGCGCGCTCATCTCGACCGCCGTGTCGCCGCTGCGCCCGGTCCCAACGTACGTGCCCGTGACCGCGTGGTCGTACAAGCAGACGATGCTTGCCGCCACGACGTTCATGTACGCGGCCGAGTCCCACGGCGTCGGCACGCAGGCCATGGAAGGCTACGACGAGACGCGCCTGCGTCACGCGCTCGACATTCCGGACCGTTATTCGGTGCCGGTAGTCATTGCGTGCGGGTACGCCGCCCCGTCGACGAGCGGTCGCGGGCCGTCGCCGCGTCTGCCTCTGAACGACCTCTTCTTCCGCGGCAAGTTTGGCCAGCCTCTTTCCAAGCCATGAGATGCGTACACCATATGAGCCTCTAACACCAAATACGACAACTGCTCCAAACTACAAGTTCCGCGGAGGTGCTGCAGAATGATCAAGGACCTTGCAGACCTACTTCCTCACGCGATGTACCACCGAGATGATGGATCCGCGCGCACGGCATGCGGTGAAGACGGCGGTGTATGCGTCCTCCAAGCTGGTTCTCGAAGACCATGGTAGGTGTTTCCATCGATACGATCCCACCGAACTCATGAGGGGATACCGGTATCTTCCTGACGCTCTGCTCTCGAAGCCATGCTGGTGTCAACCCTGGTCGCAAATGTCCCGACCCTCCGTATGCAGGCCAAGGGTGCATGACGAAGCGTTTGTGTATCAAAGAATGCATTGGGATCCATCGTGTAGTTGTAGTATACTCGTAGCCAGGGTTGCGGTTCTTACGCGCGCGACTTTGACCATGCCTTCTTGGCCTTGGGGACCTGGGCCGATTTGGAGACCGTGATGTGGCGGTCGAGGCCGTCGCCGACGCTCACGTGCGCAAGCCCGAGCTTCTCGGCCGTGTCGTGGGCCAAAAGCCGCTCGTAGCTGTTGAGGTCCGGGCTCAGATGCAGCACGTCCGTCGCGTCCGACTCTGCGTAATTCTGGATCTTCTTGACGACCGAGTGCGTCGTCGTGGACGCAAGCGGCGCCTTCTTGACCACCTTGATGTCGTCGTCGTCGCTCTCGTCATCGCTGCTGCTCAGCGACGCGGCCGGTGCCGCGACCGCCTTCTGCAGCGCCTGCTTGGGCGCCGCGGTCACTTCGTCGTCGCTGCTGTCGCTCTCCGTACTGAGCTCCGTGGCGGCGGCCACCGCGGCGAACGTTGCCGGCACGAAAGCCTTCTTGGGCGCGACCACTTCTTCTTCTTCGTCGTCGCTGCTCTCACTGTTGAGCGTTGTGGCGGGAGCCGCTTGCGCCGGCGCGACCTCGTCCTCGCTCTCGTCTTCGCTCGACAGCTCCGTCACAACGGGCTTCTTGACCGCAGCGACAGGTGTCTTGACCGCAGCGACAGGTGTCTTGACCGCAGCGACAGGCGTCTTGACGGCAGCGACCGGCGTCTTGACGGCAGCGACGTCATCTTCTTCTTCGCTGCTGCTTTCGTCGCTGAGGACCATCTTGGGCATCGGTCGGATGATCGGCTTCTTGGGCACCAGCGTCGCTTGCACTGGCGCGGCTTCTTCCTCTTCGCTTTCGTCTTCCATGGCCACGTCCTTGGCTTCTTCGACCTTCTCGACGTCTTGCTTCTCTTCTTGATCCGACTCGTCGCTCGACGACGTCGTGCCAATAGCTTCGCGGCGATGGCTGCGGAAGACGCGGAACTCGTGGATCTTCCACGAGCAGCCCGAGCAAAAGTCGAGTTCGCACTTGGTGCAGCGGACGGACGCGGCGCTAGTGCGGCACTCGGCGCAGACCACAGGGACGGCGAGCGCCGTGCGCGTGTGCTTGGACATGACGCGCGACGCATGGGCCGTCGCATCGCACGTCGTGCAGTAGTGCTCTTCGCACTGCGCGCAGAGAAGCGTCGCCGGCGCCGTGATGCACTCGGCGCACATGGGCGCCTTCCTACACATTTCGGTGCATGAGCAAAGGAATATGGAGTTGCATCGACGTACGACGACGCGGCAGACGTTGGTGCCGGCGTCGTTGTCGTTGTCGTTGTCGGCATGGGCGCGCGCTGGCTCTTGGGGACGGACGCGATCTTGAGCTTCTTGGCGGCCGGCGGCTCGGGCGCGTCGGTCGTGCGCTTGTGCGGGTGTTTGTACGCGCAGTCGGGGCGAGTGCACTCGCCATACTTCTCAACGTTGCGGCACTTGTAGATCGACCGCTTGTCGATCGTCGGGTCATGGCTGAAGAGGCAGCGGTCGCCGTGGGGGCACTTGCCCGTCTTGGCAAAGTTGCGGCACAGGTTGTCCGACTTGGTGAGCGCGTTCTCGGGGTCGTGGCTGAAGAGACAGTCGTCGCCGTGCGTGCACACGCCGCCCAAGGACACCGTGGCACAGAGCGTCCTGGACTTCTTGTACGCGATCAACTTGTCGCCGCGCCCAAGAAAGGCGCGCCGCTCCGCAACCGGGGCCGCCCCAGCCGGCGCCGCCGCCTCCTTGAATTCGCCTGTGGTCACTTGCAAGCGCTTGCCAAAGACGACCTACGTACACAGCATGAGCGCGCGACAATGCCAGCGTGGCGCCTACCGATCTGTTCATCGACTGCGTCGCGCTCGACGCGCTGTTCGCCTTCTCATACATGATCGAGCTGCAGGAGCACGATGAGCCACGAGGCCAGGACAACGACGCGCACGTACCCGGTGCCATCGTCGTTGACGTTGACCGAGGCGACCTTGCCAAACTTCTTGAAGGCCGACCGGAGCTTCTCGGCCGAGATGCCCGGCGCCAGGTTGCGCACGGAGACGAGGTGGGCCATGCTGCGACTGCTGCAAAAATGGCTCGATATCCTCCGCGTTGGCACCAACAATGCATTGGTCGGCGCTTCGCGCGCGCGGATTGGTCGCTTTTTGCCCCATAAACACGTCTGATTGGCCAAAAAGGCTGTGGGCGTGAAGACTGCCATTTTGCGTTTTTTTCGTGGTCAAGATGCTACGCCCCGCCCTTGTCCGCCGCGCCGCCCGCGGCCCGCTCATGCAGCAGAGCTCTCGCGCCATGTCCATGACGCTCGCCGAGAAGCAGCAGCAGCGTGAGCTCGATGCTGCCAAGCTCGACGATGTGCTTATTGTCGGCGGCGGCATTGTTGGCTCGGCGCTCGCGTGCAGCCTCAAGTCCAACCCGCTCTTCAAGGGCAAGAAGGTGTCGATCATTGAGACGCAGCCGCCGCGCAAGGTCGAGTCCGAGGACCTTGGCCTTCCGGACCTCCGCGTCTACTCGATCACGCCGGCCTCGAAGAAGCTCCTCGAAGCCGCTGGCGTCTGGTCCAAGATGAGCGACAAGCACATTGCTCCGTTCCAGGACATGCAGGTCTGGGACGCCATGGGCGATGGCTTTGTGCGCTTTGACGCTGCCAAGGCCGGCGTCAAGGACCAGAACTTGGGCTTCATCATCGAGCACGGTGTCTTGCAGCGTGCGCTCATGGCGCGCATGGAGGAGCTCGCGGCGCAGGACGGCGACGAGCAGCCGCTCCGCATCCACAGCCCTGCTGTTGTACGTCCCTTCTTCAATTGTCGTGGCCTTATTCGTCGCGTTTCTATGCCCCGCCTCCGCTCACGCTTCCTTTAGGTGCGCAACTTCCTCAAGGGCAACGAAGTCTGCCGCTACAGCACAGTGCACCTTGAAGGTGGCGAGGAGCTGCGTGGCCGCCTGGTCGTGGCCGCCGACGGTGGCCAGTCGCTCGTGCGCACGCTCGCGGGCCTCGGCACGTGGGGCTGGTCGTACGACCAGCAGGCGCTTGTCGCGACCATCAAGACGGAGACGCCGCATGCGACCGCGTACCAGCGCTTTTTCCCCACGGGCCCGCTCGCGCTCCTTCCGCTGCGCGATGGCTACACCTCGATCGTGTGGTCGTGCACGGAAGACATGGCCGACGAGCTCATGGCGATGAACCCCGAAGAATTCCAGGCCGCGCTCAACGACGCGCTCTTCCGCCCGTCGGCGCCGCCGGCGATCCCGGACGTGCCTTTGCTCAAGGATCTCCTCACGGGCCTCCACAACGCTGCGCAGACCGTCATGGCCGCCGGTGCCATGTCGGACCCGTTCGTCGCGCCGCCGCGCGTCACCGAAGTCGTCGGTAAGCGCTTCTCGTTCCCGCTCAAGCTCCAGCACGCGACCCGGTACACGCGTGACTGCGTTGCGCTTGTCGGCGACTCCGCCCACAGCATGCACCCGCTCGCGGGCCAGGGCCTCAACATGGGTCTTGCCGATGTCGCGTCGCTCAGCAACCTCCTCGCCGAAGGGGTCAAGACTGGCGCCAACATCTCGGCGCCGACGTTCCTCCAGCACTACGAGAACGACCGCAAGGCCGCAAACGTGAGCATGTCGCTGGCCATGGACGGCTTCAAGCGCCTCTTTGGCCCGACGCCGGACGCGGTCGGCGCGGCCCGCAACCTCGGCATGGGCGCACTCAACGCCATCGAGCCTGTCAAGACGCAGATCGTCCGCTACGCGATGGGCTTGTAGACGGCGCTGTGTCAGCGTCCAAAGTAGGAACCTAGTGTCAATCATCATGTCCACCCACCTCTTCTCTGGTCGACGTCATCTCCTTGGTCTCGCTGGTGGTGTTTAACGTGTTTAACGGCGCGGCGATGGCGTTTACCCTGTGTTTACCCACGCGCCCTTTGGTTCGCGGCGGTTTGGTTGGCGCGGTTTTTGGTCATCCGGATACGCCAAAGCCAAAGATCGTAGCGGGTTGGCCGTACATACAAATATCAAGGCATTTTGGCGGCAGGCCCATCCGGATACGAGCGCCGCGACCGCAGGTTGGTTTTGGCAACATGCGAGGCGTAGCGCGGTGGCTCCAGCAGGCCGCGCCCGCGCCCGCTGCGGCCGGCGACGTCGAGGCCATTGAGTCGGAGCCCGACGACGACGAGTTCGTCGATGGCAAGAGCAAGCGGCCCCAGGCAGGCGAGGGCAAGAAGCGCAAGCCCAAGCCCAAGCCCGACGACAAGGGCCAGCTGCGCCTCAGCTTCTTCTGCCAGCCGCCGACAACCGCGCCCGAAGTAGCCAACACTGCTTCCGTGGTCAATCTCGCCGCCACCAAGTCCATCGAGATTGTGACGCTCGATGAGAGCATCGACTGCATCGAGATCCCGGACGAGCCAGCACCGGCGCGCGCACGGCGTGCGGCCAAGCGCAAGCCCTCGACGACGACCGACGCCTCGTCGTCTGAAGACACAGTGGCGCCGGTGCGCGCCAAGCGGCGGGTCCGCGCCAAGCCGGCGAAAAAGGCGACCGACGACGACGACGACGGCATGGAGATTTGGTCGCCCGAGGCGCCGACGAAGCGCAAGGACGCCTTCTTCCTCACGCCGCAGCAGCGCGACGCCATCAAGACGCAGGAAGCCCTCGTGCGGGAGCAAGAAGCACTTTTGAAATTCCAGATCGATCTGGAGAAGCGCAAGGCGCTCGACATGGCCTTTTATGCCCACAAGACGACGGCTGCTGTCAACCCATTCTTCCAAAAAGCGCATCCGACCGCCAAGGCACCGATCGTCGTCGACGGCGATGACGCGCCGACGTCAATTATCAAGTGGTCGAAAGAGCCAATGCGGTACCCGCCCGGGCACCTCTGGCACGTCAACCGGCCGCCGCCCGTCGACACGCCGCTGCAGCCGCTGCCTGTTGGCCCAAAAGTTGATGTGCCGATCGTCGTCGAAGTCGATGACGGGTCGTCGCCGCCATGGCGCGCCTTTGCCGCCGACCACGACATCGACCGCCTCCACGAACACATGCAAGACGAGGCGCTCTACGTGCACTCGGCCGCCACGCTTGATGGGGACCTGGCGTCTAGTGTCAGCAGCGCGCAGCGAGGGCGGTGGGTCCAGGCGCTCAAAAGCCGGCGCGACGACTCGGGCTTGCTCTCGGTCGACAGATTCGCACCGACGTCGTTCAACGGCGTGGTCGGCAGCAAAGAGAGTGTCGTTGCGCTCTACCAATGGCTGCGCGCTTGGAAGACGCTGCGCAGCGGGAGGCAGCCGGACCGGTCGTCCTACATGGAGTTCTTCATGGACCCCGAGTACTCGGACGACGACGAAGAGGACACGGAGCTCTACCGCCTCCTCGTGCTCCAAGGCGAGGTAGCCCTCTACGACAATCCGACTCCATGCACCTCAGAACTGATATATATATTTATTGTAGGCCGGGGCCGGCAAGACGTGCAGTGTGTATGCGTGTGCGGCCGAGCTCGGCTACCAAGTGCTCGAGATCAACGCCGGGCAGCTCCGCTCGGGCAAAACACTTCTCGAGCTGGCGGGCGAGGCCACGCAGTCAAGTCGCGTGCTCGCGTCGACGAGCAGCGCGTCAGCAGTGGCATCCGGGAACCGACCGCTTGTCGACGTGAGCCGCGTCCTCGACGAAGACTTTTACTCGGACGACGTCCGCGCCAAGAAGGACGCAAAACGCGCTGCAAAAGAGCAAACGCGCAAGAAAAAAAGCAAAAAAAAGAAGCAAAAAGAAGATTTTACGAGCGCCAAGACGCTCTCGCTCGTGCTCCTCGAAGACGTAGGCCCGTATTTTGCTTTTCTTGAGCTGACCTGCTGCGAGCAGGTGGATGTGCTCTTTGACGCAGACAAGGGCTTCCTCTCGGCGCTCTCGCAAATGGCGCGGCAGTCCAAGTGCCCGATAATCGCTACGTGCACGCGTGCGTGTCGGTGCCATCGTCCGTGTCGCTGACGATGCATGTAGAGCTGCCCGAGAACTTTCCGTCGCACCCGCCCTATTTGCTTCGCCAGTGGCGACGCCCGACAGCCGCCGAGTTTACGACGTACCTCGCGCTCATGAGCGAGCACGAGCAGTGGGCGTTGCCGCCGTCGGCCATGACGCGTCTGCACCGCCTCTTTCGTGGCGACTTGCGCCGGACACTGCATTTCTTAGACTTTAACCAGCCCTTGGACCAGCCCTGGACGCATGTCGTGTGGCGTCCGTACGCGTCACGGTCCCATGACGAGGACGACGAGAAGGACGAGAAGGACGCGCCCATGGTCGACCTCACCGAGGGCGTACCGTTGCTCGCCTCGGCGTACACCGCGTCCGGTGTCGATGTGCTCCATACGACGTACCTCACCGAGTGGCGACGCCGGTATGGCGACGAAGTGACCGAAGGCCCGGCGTCATGGGCTGAGAACAACCGTCCGTCACGGCGTCAGTGCGACGACATGGACGCTGTCGCACTCCTTGCGGATGCCGTGAGCGACTCGGACGTCTGGCTGCGGACGGTATGTCACCATCGTATTTCGTTAGGACCTGCTGCTCATGAGGGCGTAGGACAACGATGAAGGCAGGCGGGTCATGGCCCAGGGCATGCGGTCCATGGCTTGTGATGTCGGCTTTGCGCTGGGCGATGCGCACGAGACGAGCTTGGACGCACTCGACGGCATCGACCTGTGCAGCGACGCATTCGAGAAGGAAGCAAGCATGTACGCGCAGTATCCTATCGCTGAGGATGCTAACTGTGGTCTAGTCGGCGTCGTCAAGCCGAACTTGGCGACCTCGTTGACGCCTTGCACATTTCCATGGAGTCGTCGAGAGGGTGCATCTTCGCACCGCCTTGTTATCTTCTTTGAGCGACGGTGTAGGATCCGACGCACGCGCCAGGGTGCCGTCGACACGCTGCCGTTCCTGAGCGTCATGGCGACCTCCGACTCTGTGATTCAGCAAGTGCGACGCCGGTCGTTGGGGTACATTTGTGGTCCTTCTTGGAGTCGGCTTTCATCCTCAACTAGTCGCACCGGGCACCTCGCCAAAGTCATTTCCGACAGCAGCCTCATCGCGACGCTGCAAGATCGAAAAAGTTATCATTAATGCCACGTCCTTTTCCCATCTTTCTTGTTCTATTCGCGATATTTCCCACTGCGTAAAGAGAAATATACCGGCAGAGGCAGCCGCCGACGTGGTGACGCGCATTTGTTACCCCACGATCCGAGTTCCACACCGCAAGGTCTTGACGATAGGGTCGAGGACCCGCGACACTGTCGTCTGTTGTAGAGATGGCAAATCTGTCGAACGGACGACGAAGAACACGCTTTCATGTGGTCAATAAGCCACTATGGCTAGTGTCCACGAGCTAAAGTGAAAGGTGAATACCGAGACGTCGGAACTCTCGGTCGAGCTATCGAGAGTCCCGGTGCGCTGTTGGCGAACACTTGCGCAGTGTTGGCGTTCATGTCCAGCAACACCCGCAAGAGGATACCCCTTGAAGATACATACATGCACTCAAACGCTCGACCACAAGCCATGGACAGTGATGCTCGAACACAAAACGCTGTTGATCAAGACAAGCAGAGTGAGCAATCGAGTGGCCAAAAGTGGTGCGTCGTGGATGCAAGTGGCAACTCTGACTCAAGAGTATTACTTGGAGGGTGCTGCAGCGCTGCGCCATCGCTGCTTCGCGGATGTGAGGTGGTGGTTGTGACGAAACCTTGGCTTCGACACTTGGACTCGTGCCGATTGTCCGGCATCTTGTTGTTCGTTACAGGGTCTCGTGGTCGACGACCGGAGCCGCACTGTAGACTTGCGCAGGGCTTTGCCGCTCTCGTCAACGAGCACATATTGACTCTCGACACTGATTTCGGCGCGATCGTTGGGGAAGGGGTACCAGCGATGAACGAGGGCACTGACGATGCGATGCTGTAGGGTATCGAGGCGTTCAACAAGAAGGAGTGATCAGCTCGTGGTTGACGCGCCAATGTGCAAGAACGCTTCCGACTCGTGGACACGCAGACTGACAGCACGTTTCGTCACGACCCAAGACTGAGTACCGAGTGCCTTGGGATCGTAGAAGCGTACGCAGGTTCGCACCATGGACGGTGTACTGCGTGGCGCAGCGAGCGGGTGCTCAAGTTCAACACACGAGCAGCGAGGCGCCGTTGCTTGATGAGCAATCGAGCTTTGAGAAGGTATGAATGTCATCTACCTGGTGGACGAAGGCAGACATGGCGCGAGCGGCGTCGATGCAACGGAAAAGAGGTGGCCCAGAGAACCCCAAGTGCCTTGCCACTCTTCAACGTGTTCTTGGCGTTCAGCCAGCTCGCAGTCAGCAAGGTCAAACTGATCAGGTAGTGCCCCTCAGCCAACCCAAAGCACTGGAGAGACGCTGGGGTGGCCGACCAAGCCAGTGGAGCGATTGCGTAGTCGGAGGCCATGCTTTTTGCAAAACCACGACGTCAAACTCGGGTATTGTGTTGGTTTTATAGGTAGAAAGCAGTCGAGGGCGTGGATGGTCTATAGCAAAACCGAGCGGGGCATTTAAAATGGTATTAAATAAGAGGGAGGCCTGTTGTGTGAGTGTTGTGGCAGCGCTCTCATTTGACACAAAACGTAATCGGCTCTCTGGTATCCAGCCCCTTCCGACGCCTCCAAGCTGCAACCTGCGCACCTGCGCACTCCGAAGTGTCGCGAGAGCGGGCAGGGTTACGGCGCGCGCAGCTGGCCCTTTTTTAGCCGCTTGCTCTGCGTGCAGCGGAATCTGCGCGCGGCACGTCATGAAGTGCCTTTAGCCGCTGACCCCGGAAACCACCCATGTCCAAGAACTCCGAGCCATGACCCGAACCAGTAGACTACAACATCGCCACGTTTGAACTTGTCTCGAGTGCAGCCTTAGCCACGCCGACCGTACCAGCACTAAAGAGCCACCGAGAACATGACATTGCTCTGTACTGACGTTGTGGTAGCTGGCAGCGATCGATACAACGTACTGTCCCACGCCTTTCTTGGTCGAGTGCTGCGCCTCAAGAAATTGCCTTTTCCAACGGTCTACGATCGCAATCTGCGAAGCGAATGAGGGCAAAGGGGAGTGACTCTCAAACCTTTCACTGGTTCACGACCGCAGGTCTTACACTGTACCAGTGACATCAGAATTTCCTGCGTGGGAGAAGAGAGTGCCACTCAGCATTTTGTGCACCAAACGTAATCCACTCTCACGTGCAACTTGTCGTTGACATGCGCGTTCCGTGCAAATCTTCTATTTCGAGTATGACGATACATAACATCAGTGTTTATTCCACAAAAACGTTAGCAGGGACGCCAAGTTAAAACACATGGCTTTAATAACCAAACATGTGGATCCAATCACAGAGTGATGGCGATTTGACGGAATGTTGGCTGTCCAACACGTTGGGTAGCCATAAATTTGGAGCGGCGTAGTACAATCCGGAGTGGCGTCTCCTACCTTCAGTGCTCGACTACGTATCTTGTAGAGACCATGCATCACAGTTCGCACCATGCTTTCCTCGTCCATGCCATACTCTCAACGCAGTACCAAATCACCCTCTCACTGTGAAGCTACTGCACGAGTAGACACGACATACCACGGCGCAAACTGCGACAAGCTAACTTTCCATCTGGTTCCCTCCAGCCCGATTCGCCCTACCCCTCACCACCTCGTCACCCGGGGTGTCACTCGTTCACTTTTCACTTTGTCTTCTCCAGCTTGGAGCCTCCCAACATAACATGCTGCAGCGCCTCTCCAAGTCACCACCCCGCAGCCCAAAACAACATGACGAGATTGCGCTGGACCTCCCGACGATCCACCCGCGTCTCACAAAAGACACCTTCCGTGCGACCCATACCATGTCCTCCTCGTCCGGCGTCTATGTCGGTGGCAGCCTCGCCGCCGTCCTCCTCACGTGCGCGCTCCTCGACGCCACCTCCTTCTTTCTCCACCTCTGTGTCTACCTCGCCTTGACTGCGTCGGCGTGTGTCGGCCACCGCTACGTCTCTGCCCGCGTCTACGGCGGACGACCGGCAGTCGCTGTGGCGTGCGTCGTTCTCGCGCTTTTGTGGCCGTGGCCAGGTCTTCTCTGTATGGCGCTCGCCACGCTCGCGATCCTCGGTGTGTGCGACGTGATCTTGCTGGCGCTCGTGCCCGGGACGATGCTCGTCGTGCTCTCTTGGCTCGTCTTGCTGGTGGTCGCATCGACCATGTCTCTGTGGATGGCCTGCGTGCTTGGCGCGGCGGCGGTTAGCGTCGGGCACCAGCGGCAGCTTCTGGCCCTCGCGCCGGTCGTCCACGGTACGTTGCTTGCGATTGCGAGTGCGATTTGTCTCGCGCTCTTTGGCGTTTTGGTCGTGCTCTCGATGAACCCGTTCTGGCTCGCGACCAACGAAGTGTCCAAGTACGACGCACTGCGGTACCTCGGTCGCGACGCCTCGCTCGACGCGACGCGCATCGCGTCACTGGACGACCTCGCGACGTGGCACGCTGCAACACCGCGGTCGTTTCCGTTTGTGATCAAGCCAAACGTGTGCACGACGAGCTCGGCCGGCGTCCGTCTCTGCCGGGATTACGCGTGTTTGGAAGCGTACGTGCGCGAGCGCCAAGCGACGGGGTCGCGCCAAGACGACAACTCGTGGGTGCTGCAAAAGGCCGCGTACGGTCTCGAAGCCGTCGTCTTCTTCTACCGGTACCCGTACGCTACCAATGGCGACATCAAGAGCATCGGGCTCCGAGATGCGTCGCGCACCGAGGGCGTCGACGGCAACGACCTGCGGGCCAACTACTTTACATCGGACGGCAACCGGCTACGGACGGACGCGTTCGTGGCGTACTTTCGCAACCTCACGGCGCGCTTTGACGGGTACAGTGGCGGTCGCTTTGACGTGATCCTCGAGAGCGAAGAGGCTGCGATGGAAGGCCGAGGCATCGGCGTCGTCGACGCCAACATCTTTCCGCTTGGCGACATTGAGGAAAAGCAAGACCATTGGTAC